TGAGCCGAAGGCAGAGGCTTTAACCCACTGAGCCACTCAGGCGCCCCTCCAAGGAGTATTTTAAAACTTTAGTAAGGGAAGTTTTAAACTTGAAGAGAGGGAAAATTGTTTTTCTTTTACGAGCATTTTTTTACTCATGGACTTTTATTCACACACCATGTTTTGCAATACAGCCCTTACTCTCTTTGATGCTCAAATTTGGCCAGAAGAGGTTCCTTTGAGTTGGTCCGTGTGCCCTTTTGGCAAGCCTCCATCGGTCTTGGAGCACTTCTTTACTCTGGCACGAGATGTTTCCAGTTTATCTTTGTGTGTGTGTGTAACTGGGTTCCATTTACAGATCTAAAGTGTGTAGTTCAAAGACTTTGGATTCATATGTACTTTTATGTATGTCACACCCCTAACAAGGATACAGAGAAATTTGAACACCCTGGAAACTCTAATCTTGCCCTTTTTTCTCTGATGCCCAGTGTTTCCCATCACACCTGCCCGATCAGTGTTCCGATTTCTACCACCACGGATTAGTTTTGTCTCTTCTAGAACTTCATATAAATGAAGTCATATATTATATACTATTTTATGGCTGACTTTTTTTTTTTTTTTTTTTTTGCTAAACATTTAATTATTTTTTAAAAATCCCTGGGTCTTTTTTTTTTTTCTAAAGATTTTATTTATTTGACAGAGAGAGAGAGCACAAGTAGGCAGAGCGGCAGGCAGAGGGAGAGGGAGAAGCAGGCTCTCCATTGAGCAGGGAGCCCGATGCGGGGCTCAATCCCAGGAGCCTGGGATCATGACCTGAGCTGAAGGCAGACGCTTAACCGATTGAGCCACCCAGGCGCTCCCCACCTCCGTGTCATTTTTCAAAGATTTTATTTATTTGTTTATTTTAAAGATTTTATTTATTTATTGGACAGACAGCACAATGAGGGGGAGCAGCAGGCAGAGGGAGCGGGAGAAGGACCCTGGCATCAGGTTCTGAGCTGAAAGCAGAGCCACCCAGGTGCCCCTCTAGATTTTATTTTATTTTTAAGTAATCTCTGCACCCAACGTGGGGCTCAAACTTACAACCCCAAGATCAAGAGTCACCAGCCAGGTGCCCCTAACCCACATATTAGTAGCTCACTCCTTTCTACTGCTGAGTAGGATTTTCTTGTGTGTGTAACTTGTGGTATATTCACACACTGATAGATTGTGCTGTGAACATTCCCGTACAGGTCATTTGTGGACAAATGTTTTCAGTTCTCTCTCGGGTAAATTCCAAGGAGTGGAATTTCTGGGTCAGAGGCTAAGTGTATGTTTAACTTCATAAGAGACTGCCAGCGTTTTCCAGAGGGGTTATGCCATTTTCATACTCCCACTAGAAATGTTAGAGACTTGGTTATTCTACATGTTTGCCAACAATTGGTATTTTTGTCTTTTTAATTTTAGCCATTCTGATGGATGTGAAGTGATATCTTATGGTTTTAATTTGCGTTTCCCTGATGACTAATAAGGTTGAGGAGCTCTTTGTCTGCTTCTTGGCCATTTATATCTTCTTTTATGAAGTCTGTTCAGGTCTTTGGCTCAGCTTTTGAATTGAAAGTTACTTTAAGTCTTTTATTACTTAGCTGTAAGAATATGTATATCCTGAGTACAAGTTCTTTTCAGATGTTTTGTGAATATTTTCTCATAGTATTTTTTTTTTTTTTAAGTAGGCTCCAGACCCAACATGGAGCCCAGTGTGGGGGTTGAACTCACGACCCTGAGAGAAAGACCTGAGCTGAGATTAAGGGTCGGACACAACCGACTGAGCCACCCAGGCGTGCCTCTATTTTCTTTTTATTTATTTATTTAAAAAAGATTTTATTTATTCATTTGTGAGAGAGGGTGCACAAATAAAGGGAGCGGCAGGCAGAGGGAGAAGCAGGCTCCTCACTGAGCAAGGAGCCTGATGTGGGGCTCGAACCCAGGACCCTGGAATCATGACCTGAGCTGAAGGCAGATGCTTAACCGACTGAACCACCCAGGCACCCCTATACTTTTTTTTTAAAAAGATTTTATTTATTCATTTGAGAGCAAGAGTGTGTGTGAGAGAGAGCAAGCTGGGGAGGAGGATGTGGCAGAGGGAGAGGGAGAAGCAGACTCCACTGAGCAGGGAGCCTGGTGTGGGGCTCGTTCTCAAGACCCCAAGATCTTGGGCTGCCTGGGTGGCTCAGTGGGTTAAGCCATTGCCTTCGGCTCAGGTCATGACCTCAGGGTCCTGGGATCAAGCCCTGATTCAGGCTCTCTGCTCAGCAGGGAGCCTGCTTCCCTCTCTCTCTGCCTGCCTCTCTGCCTACTTGTGATTTCTCTGTCAAATAAATAAATAAAATCTTAAATAAATAAAAAAAAGACCCCGAGATCATGACCTGAGCCGAAGTCAAGCACTTACTTGACTAAGCCACCCAGGCGCCCCCCTCATATTATACTTTTGTGTATAGTGTGAGGTTAGGAATTGAGTTTCATTTTTGTTCTGTATTTCATTTTTTTCCTCCAGTTGTCACAGCACTATGGGCTGAAAAGACTTCGCTTTCCCACCTGTGTGTTTACTGAAATATTTATGGGACTATTTTTGCACTCTGTTCTGTTTCACTGATTTTTCTGTCTTTCTTAACCCCTGTGTTACGCTGTCCTGATGACTTGAAGTCTTAAGATAGGTAGCGTCAGTCTTCCAGCCCTGTTGATCTTTTGAACGATTATTGGGCTATTATCCTAGGTTCTTTGTGTCTTTATATAAATTTTAGAATTGGAAGGCAGCCCTCAGCACAAGGGTTTGAAAGAAGAAAAACACAGAATAGAATCGGCATGTCAGTTTCCACAGAACTAGTAGCAGTGCTGGGATCTTGACTGAGGGGCGTTGCATGTCTAGGTCAGCTGGGGGAGAATGATAGCCGAACATCCGAAGCCATGAAGATTGTCAGGGACTGAGACTTTTCTCTCCACTTGCAAGCTGACACGTTCATCGGCCGCTGTTGGGCTGATGCTGACTGAAGACAGAGCCTCCCGGGGCAGAGGCTCTCAGCCCCGCAGATGGGATGAGCTTCACGTTTGAATCCTTCTGCGTATGCCCTCGAGGCTCACATCGGTGCTGCACAGGGAGTGGGTCTACGTCAAGGCTAGGGAACCCTGAACTGAGGGAACCCGATGTTTTATAATGGGCTTTCAGCAAAGCTCTCAGACCCTTGCTTCTGAGGAGCACATTATGGGTATTGCACTGGACAGCAGACACACCTGCTTTCTACTGCAGAGGGCAAGAAGCTGTCTGGCTTCTAAGCAGTGTGTTTCACAAATGCCCTTGGGGAGGTAATTCAGAATGAACGCTGCCAGTCCCCTGTAAGGTGGGCCGAAATGCGAGAGCCCCAGCGGGGAGCGGCCCTCCCGCAGTGGTACAGCACGCTCTTTATGGAGAGCTTCCGAGATTTCTCTCAGCCAAGTCTGGTGTGGCAGGGTGAGGGTCACAGCTGTCTTTTATTAAATGTACCCCCTCAGTATTTTGCAGGGTTTGGGGGGTGCTATTATGAATGCAGTTTTAAAAATTATGAGTTCATTTTCCAGTCATTTGTTAGCCGAATATACAAACATAGTTGGTTTTCACCTTCTGACCACCTATCTTAGAACCCTGATAAACTCATTTATTTGTTCTAGTAGGGTTTTTTGTTTTTTAAGATTTTATTTGTTTGTCAGAGAGAGAGAGAGAGGGAGAGCGAGCACAAGCAGGGGGAGAAGCAGGCTCTACGCTGAGCAAGGAGCCCAGTGTGGGGACTCGATCCCAGAATCCCGGGATCATGACCTGAGCTGAAGGGAGACAGACACTTAACTGACTGGGCCACCCAGGTGTCCTCTAGTAGGGTTTTTTGGGGTCGATTCCTTACAATTTTCTACGTAACATAATCATATCATCCTGATTAAAGATAGTTTTACTTTTTCCTTTCCAATTTCTTATTTTTAAAATTTTTATTTTTATTTTATTATTATTATTGTTAATTAATTAATTTATTTGACAAACAGAGATCACAAGTAGGCAGAGAGGCAGGCAGAGAGAGGGGGAAGCAGGCTCCCTGCTGGGCAGAGAGCCCGATGCGGGGCTTGATCCCAGGACCCTGAGATCATGACCTGAGCCGAAGGCAGAGGCTATAACCCACTGAGCCACCCAGGCGCCCCTAATTTTTAAAAAAATTTTTCTCCCTTGCCTTATCGCACTGCTTGGGCCTCCAGTCCAGTGCTGAATCCCCCGGGGAAGAGCATGTCATGTTCAACCCTGATGTCTGGTGTCTGCTGACGGTTTCTCGCAGGTGCCCCTTATCAGGGAAGGAGGCTCGCTCCTGTTCCTGGTAGGCACTGTGGTCTTCCTCCTGACTCTGATGGGATGCCTCTAATGGCATTGCCAGGTCTGCTGGGGCCCCTGCTTTGACAAGGACACCTCTTTCACTAGGGCTTTCTTACCTGATGAGAGTTGTCCTGACGTTCACAGATGATGGCGGTGCATTCTGGAACATCTACTCTCAGTCCCACTGAGAATCTTTTTTTTTTTTTTTTTTTAACATTTTTACAAGATTTATTTATTTATTTATTTTAGAGAGGGAGAGAGAGACGGAGACAAAGACAGAGACCTGGGGGGAGCCTGATGCGGGGCTCGATCTCACGACCTGAGCCGAACCCAGGAGTCCACAACTGCACCGCCCAGGCATCCCTGAAACAAATGTATTTTTAAAAATTAACCAGAACAGTTTACATTTGAAAAACACTCCCTTCATATATTTGCTCAGACACCCTCTTATAATAATCTTGTCAATGTGTTCTGTTTAATTTCTTAAAAAAATATTTATTATTAGCACAGTAGTAACCTAATATTAAAGGGAAATGTTAAAATTTGCCCATAATCTGCTTCTCATCTGTCGGAGAAGAGTCCTGAGAAATGGAAGCAGGGGCTCCCTCCCCGGGTTCCAGCGGCCCACCGACCCCCTTCTCAATCCTTGTCCTTGCAGGCAGACGACTTCGAGGGAAGGCGTTCTACAACGTGGGTGAGAAAGTCTACTGCCAGGAGGACTTCCTGGTGAGTCAGAGCTGGGTCCCAGCCACCGTGGGTGAGAGCAGGGGAGGTGACCCTCCTGCTTCATGTGGAGACCTGGGGCCAGGAGCAGGTGCCGGCTGGGCAGCGAGGGCCCCTTTGTCACGGGACATTCTGGATCCTTTGTCCCCTCTCAGTACTCCGGGTTCCAGCAAACAGCTGACAAGTGTAGCGTGTGTGGACACCTCATCATGGAGATGGTGAGACCCTCCCCCAGCCTCCTGGAGCCCCTCTGCCACGGGTGGTCTTAGGACCCACCCATGCCCCGTTGCAGACCTGCCAAGGGCTCAGAGCCGGAGCCTCTTCCGGGGGCTGTGCTGAGCCTTCCGTCTGCACTGACCCTTCAGTGCCTCCCACCCCCAGATCCTGCAGGCCCTTGGGAAGTCCTACCACCCAGGCTGTTTCCGGTGCTCAGTGTGCAACGAGTGCCTGGACGGGGTGCCCTTCACCGTGGACGTGGAGAACAACATCTACTGTGTCAGGGACTATCACACGTGAGTAGCCAGAGCTGGGGGGCAGGTGGGACTCCCGCTGTGTCTCCTGCCACCCCAGAGGCAGTTTTCCAACCGGCCTGTCCATATGCCCTCCATTCTTGGCCTTGCCATTTGCAGCTTCTCCCTGTGCACGCAGTGGCTGGGGCAAGGCCTGGATCTCGGCCTCGAGCCCTCTCTGGGATGATCCCGCTACCAGCCTTCTCTTTCCCCGTCTCTTTCCTCTCCCTGCCTTTGCCTTCCTGTTCCCTCTCCTCCTAATGGGGGCGGGACTCCTTGGTTTCCCCGCCCACATCTGTCCCTCCACTCCCAGGGCAGGCGAGGCCCCTTCTGCCCTAGGGTGGGGGCTTGGAGTCTCTGTGGCTGTCCTTTCCCTGCCTGTCGGGGTATCCACATGAGCAGCCAATCCGTTGTCCCCTGCTGGGGCTCCAGGCCCGGCCCTCTGAGCTCTGGTCCCCAGCTACTGCCTTGCACTGGGTGGCTGTCCTGTGCCGATCCATGGGACTCAGTATGGAGCCAGGCTTCACAGGGGTCCTAGCCCAAACCTGGACATTAGGGGACAGGGAACTCACAGGGAGCATGAGGGAGAGGGTAGGGAGAACCTGAAGCCATCCTGGAGGAGGTGATGGGGCAGACGTGAATTGGGGAGCCAGATAAAAGGCCAAGAAGGCACCAAAGAGGCCGCACCCAGCCCACTGTGTGTCCACACAAGGAAAGGGGTCATGATGCTGTGGGTGGGTCTGCCTTGGTGCCCTTGGCCTTTGGCCACTCAGCTGGTCCCTTCTGGTTTCCTTTATCCCTTCAGGGTTTTTGCGCCAAAATGTGCCTCCTGTGCCCGTCCTATCCTTCCTGCACAGGTAGGAGCCACTCATCGGGTGATGACCAGGTGCCTGGCCCAGCCTGGCCTTGGCCTGGTTCCGCTGGGGTTGGCCCCCAATCTTGGGAGGGATGAGCAGATGCCCCTGCCCCACATCCCTCAGGGCCGAGGGCTGTGCTGTGCCCACAAGTGCCCAGGCGTCCCTGCATGAGTCAGAGAGGAATGGTGGCCCTGGGCTCCATGGCCCATGATGGAAAGCTGGCTCCCGGGGTCTGTTAGCTGTGCAGGCTGAGGTGGCAGGCAGAGCAGGTGAGAGAAAGATGCAGCCTGGGGTGGGGCAGTGCTCTCTTGGCCTCATTGCTCCCACGCCTGCTGGTTCTGCCCCAAGCTGTTGTGCCGGGAGCAGTAGGTTGGGCCACGGTCCTCCCTGATGGCAAAGAACAGAGAAGGATGCATGTGTGTGCCCTGACGCCCGTGACTGCCCCTGTGACCGCCCTCGTGGACATGTGTGTGTGCTGTGGGCACAGCTGCTCCAGACGTGTGTCCCCGCTGCCTCTGTCCTGTCCATGGAAACAGCAGTCAGGGCTCACGTGGGCGCGGACACACGTCTGCTGGGCTGGCCCGTGTTGTGTAGGTGTGCGCCCCTCAAACCCTGGGGTGCTGATCGCATGCAAACCCTGTCTCATCCTCCAGGGCTGTGAGACCACCATCCGGGTGGTGTCCATGGACAGAGACTACCACGTGGAGTGTTACCACTGTGAGGTGAGCACAGCCCCCCAACCCCCCCCCACCGAATGCTGGTGGCTCCCCTCTTCACCTGGAGCTCCTTTTCTCTCAGGTTCTGTGGACTGGCCTCCTCCTCTATGGTTCCGCCCCCTTTGCCCCGCTCCCCCCAGGGTGCCCTCTCCCTTCTCCCCAATATGTTCTCAGCCCCTGTTTCCCATCCAGTCACATATTTTTTTTTTTAAAGATTTTATTTATTTATTTGACACAAGTAGGCAGAGAGAGAGGAGGAAGCAGGCTCCCCGATGAGCAGAAAGCCTGATGCGGGGCTCCATCCCAGGACCCTGGGATCATGACCTGAGCTGAAGGCAGAGGCTTTAACCCACTGAGCCACCCAGGCGCTCTCCAGTCACATATTCACTGAAGATTTGCGGTATGGGGGATGCTGGGGGTGTGCAGAGAGTAAAAATCAGGTGTCTTCACTCTTAGGGCAGTGGTGAGTGTTCGGGCAGTATCCGGATAGGCTCAGTATTGCCATCGGGGTGACTTGTCGGAGGGCGTAGGAGGCCTTGGAGAATCAGGGAAGGCATTCTGGAGAAAGTGAGGCCCGAGCTAAGGTTTGCAGAGTGAATGAGTTATCCAAGGAGGCTGCGAGGCTTCCAGGCAGTGGAAGCAGAACGTGCTTACAAGTGAAGGTGACTGTGTTGTTTTGAGTCATGAGAAGTTGGCAGGAGCGGGGTACATAGGGCTATGACAGCTGAGGCGTGTGCACTTATCCCGAGGTGGAGAATGCTCGAGAAGGATGACACAGTGGCATGAGCACTTTGAAAAGGGTTCTCTATGCCAGGGAGAGAATGAATAGAGGAAGAGGGCGTGGGGCTGGGGTTCTGTGGGGAGGACAGAGACTGGTGGTGTCGAGGCTGTGGTCCTGGGTTCAGGGTAGAGCACTGAGTTGTGCTTTAGAAGGGACTAGACTTGGGCCATGACTGGATGTGCCAGTCTAGGCGTTAGGAGGTGTCCATTAGGACCCCAGGAGAGACTGAGGGTGGGAGGTGGAAGGGAGAGTTGCTCTCTTAGTACACTGGGGACACCTGAGTGGAGATGTCCTTCGGGGCTGCTAGACGTGCTGGAGTTCAAAGACTCTGGCTGCAGGCGCGGGAATTTGGGAGTCGCGGGCACACATCCCTCTCTCTCCTCTCTGATACTCTGCCCTGTGGTTTCTCATTGCCTTGGCCTCCCCAGATTCCCAGGGCAAGGAGACCCGTGGGCCCTCTTTGGGCAGCATGGACAGTTGCTTCAGGTGGTAACTTGGGGCAGTTGTAGGGTTCACCCCACGAATCTGCCTTCTCTCAGAGATCACTGACCTCCCTTGTCTGTCATCCTAGAGTCTGACAATCAGTTCCTTATCTTTGACCTGGTTTTTCATTGTTAAAGGTAGGATGGGAGAGTCAGTCCTTGTTACTGTCATGGCTGGATGCCTGAGTCCCATCATGAACTTGAAGCTGAAGCCAGGGGAGTGAACGAAGTTTTCTAGGGAGAGCCGTGGGGGCAGGAGTGGGGGTTCAGGATAGCTTAAGGAACACCAACATTTAGGGGGTGCATGGAGGCAAAGCAGCCATACGGAGAGGCCAAGAATGAGTGAACGGAGGTAGGAGAAGAACCGAGAAAAGCATGTTGGGTTTAGGGCCCCAGTGCAAAGCAGGAGGGTGTGTCTATGAGAAATCTTCAGTAACTGTCAAGGGTCTCCTTGGACCCAGGAGGCCTTGGTTGGGGCGGGTGGCCCAGCGGGAACTAGAATCCTGCTGGGGGACCAGGGAAGGAGGAGCAGGAGGAGACATGGCCTACAGAAGGGCCTCGGTGTCCCCTCTGACAGTACCAGGGGATCCGGTCTGCTTCTTGAGGACCACGGGATCCCGCTGGGACCACTAAGCACAGGGAGGGTCGATGCTGAGAGCCAACGAACAAGGCGAGTGGCAGGTGATACACAGCCAGAGCCTCGGGGCTACTGCCCCCAGGGAGACCCTCGGCCAGGAGCAAGGGTGTCGGGGCCCTCTTGCCTGGTCCCTCTCCGGCATGTGGCGGTTAGCAGCAGGGCCTGATGGCAGGACAGGGCGATTCCTGGGATGTGACTTGTGTGGAGCAGGACAGCAGGTGTTAGTCTCAGGGCCTTCCGGGGCCAAGTGCCAAAGCAAGTTAGTCCTGGATGTGATGAGCGTGTGATGGAAGGGGTCTCCTTGGGCTGGGGGCCAGAGGAAGGAAGAAGCTGGGCAGTCGGCCCTGCCCCAGTCCTGACAGCGCACTCCCCACGCTACCCTTTCCGCTTCCTGCCAGCCTAAATTTACGGAGGTCCAGTAAGAATCTCATAACTTGTTAAACAGAGGCAGTTCGCCTATAAAGTATACTGTAGAGGTCAAATGGTAAGGCACGGGACAGAAAGCACAACTCCTTGTGTACTGGATCTCTCCCGATTTTTCTCCTCCATCTCTTAGGGTCCTACAGTCAGATACCTGACCCCCGTCCCCTCCCCCCAGTCACCAATGACCCCTATGTGGTGGGATCCAGGAGACACTTCTCAGTTGTCATGGTCCTGACCTCTCAGTGGCTTTCTGCATGCTGACCCTCCCTCTGTGACTCTCTTCACTGTGCCCTTGGGACCATCTATTTTCGGCTTTCCTTTTATTTTCCCCTCAAATCCCTCTGGCTCGAGTCTTCCTCCTCTTTCCGCTTGGTGTGGGAGCCTCTGCGGCTCCGCTCTGGGTCCCTTTCTCTTTTCTAGTTATCTGCACTGCCTGGGAGACATAACCGGTTGTTTGTTATTTTTAAGATTTTATTTATTGTAGAGAGAGAGTGTGCAGGGGGTTGGGGAGCAGAGGGAGAGGGACGAGCAGATGTCAGGCTCGACTCACTACCCTGAGATCATGACCTCAGCGAAAATCAAGAGTCAGAAGCTCAACCGACCGAGCCACCCCAGCGCCCCAATTGGTTGGTTGTTGTTAAAAACCATCATCACATTTTTGGGCTGATACCCCCGTGGACGGCCCAGCCCTCCCGCGGATTCCAGCAGATTCCAGAGGGGTGTCCTGCAGCCGCCCTCCTCACTGCCTCCTTTGGAAGTCTGAGAGGCATCTGCGGTTGGCTGGGGCCGACACTGGGCTCCAGATCCCCCGACCCAATCGAAGCCTAAGTCCTTCGGAAGTCGCACCGGGCCCCAGAGATCCGCCCCGTCCCGTTACCCTCCTGTGCCCTCCCGTGCCCCCTTTGCTTACTCCGGGGTCGGGGCTGTGTTCTTCCCTAGGACTGCGGGCTGCAGCTGAGCGGGGAGGACGGACGCCGCTGCTACCCCCTGGAGGGCCACCTGCTGTGCCGCCGCTGCCACCTGCGGCGCCTCCGGCCCGGCCCCCTTCCCTCACCTGCAGTGCACGTCACGGAGCTCTGAGGGGGTGGGGGAGCCCCGCGGGGGCCGCGCGTGCGTGCGTGTGCGTGCGTGTGTGAGAGCGCGCGCCCGGGCGGGAAGGGGGACCAGGTCAGTGTCCGAGCTCCGCGTCCCTGGGCGCGGCTGCCGCCCCCCCCCCCCCCCCCCCCCCCCCCCCCCCCCCCCCCCCCCCCGAGCTGCCGTCGAGGGGCCGGCCCCGCGGCGGAGCTGCTTCTATTTATTCACCTTCTGTGCCTCCTCTGGCCGCTTCCTTTCTTCCTGCCCCGCCCGGCCCCCGCCTGCCCCCACCCCACGCCAGCCTTCAGTTCCCAGGCCCCTGTGCCCGGCGGCCTCGGGCAGGCTCCCAGACCAAGTGCAGGGGCGCGGGGCGCAGGACCGCCCCTCCCCGTTTCCCGGTTCAGAAGGGGTCCCCCGTCTCAGACCGCCCCTGGGGGGCAGGGGTGGGCTGGCAGCTGGGGTTTGGCGGGGGACACGCGTGTTTGCGTGTCTCGTAAGAGCCTTTGGTGGGTGGGAAGGGTGTCCTCTGCGGGTGGGGTCACAGGAGGGGGTGAGGAATGACACCTTTGGGGAGTGGGGGCTGCAAAGGAGCCCTGCTTTTGGCCACAGTGGGATTTGGTCACCGGGATTCTGATGGGTGATTTCAGCCACCATCCCGCCCGGGTCTCCGCATCCCTGGCTCCTGGCTTGGGGACCGCCCCTCCCTCCGACCCCCTCCGCTCGCCCTCCTTCAGCCTTGGGAAAAGAACCTTCTCACGCAAATTCCAGCCACAGGGCTCTGGGTCAAGAGAGACCACGAGGGGGCGCCCTGTCCGCGTGGCAGGGGCGAACACCTGTTGCAGGAAAGCTCTGCGTATCAGGCTCCACGACAAAAGCGTATGATTTGACTTAAATTAAGTTTTTCCTCTGAGAATGTTTTCATTTTCTTTAAAAGAATATAGTTTTCTTCTAAAAACTTGGCCCACGGTTGTTATTTCTTAGAAAAATGACAAGAAACACACAAGTGTCCTATTTGGAGATCATACAGCTAGTTTTCAGGCGGTAACAACGTCGTGTTTTAACTATTTTTGTATAAATCCCTCTAAAATCTCAAAATATTTTTTTGCTTTTCAGAATTCGGAATAATGTGGGGGTTTTTTCTGTGTCTGTGTCTGAAGAGCAGTGACCTAATGAAATGTGGTTTGGGAAAATGCAGATTGATTTTCTTTCTCTGAAAGACACATCAGCACTGGGAAGCTGGGACCTCTCAGCGGTGACTTACGTTGGATTTGCACCCGTGGGTGGTCCCTGCGGCAAGAGACCCCGAGTCATGATAAACCATCAGTGGGATATTTTGACTTAAGTCCATTTGTGCCTGAAATGCCAGTGAGGTTCGGGTGAGACCCCGAACGACCTGCTCCTGGCTACTGCTCTTGGCCTCTCCTATTATATATGGTCTCTTTGCTTGTAGGGTCACAGCCTTGGAAGCAAGGCTGTAGGAATCAGAACGTTGCCTTTGCTTCGGATTGCCTTTTGGGATTCTTTGGAGAGGAAGCGGCGGCCCCTGGTGGCCAGCTGGGCTGAGGCCTGGAGCTGGGGGGCCCCCTGGTGGGCGGAGGCGGCAAATACGCGGGTAGTTTGGCATTAACCAAGTATTTATTTCAACGCAGAGGTTGTCCTGGGATGGGGAAGTGGGTGTTTTCTGAGAAGGGACTTCGACAAGATGGGGTGCCTTCTCGGAGGCGGTGATCTCAACGGGGCAAGAGAGAGTACATTTCAGGAACGGGAGGCTGTTTCTAGCTTTCTCTGACTCTTGAGCTGGACTCTTGCTTTCCAGCCCAGTTACTGCAAAGCTTTCTTCTGGTTGCCCTCTTTTTTGCTTCTGATGTCAGAGCTGCTTTGCCCTTGGTTTCTCCTTGCTGCAAACTCAGCCCTGCTCGTTTCTCTTCCTTTGTGTGTGCTGTGGAGGTGGCCATCATTTTGCACACCTGCTGCAGCCTGGGTACCAGGCTTCCCTTATCCAGCCGGCCTGAGTCATTACAGTGTGGAGCCACACTCTGAGTTCATGGGCTGTGCTTTGTGGCAAGTCAGGAGCAAGGGAATGCGCAACCCTAGGGGGCAGTGGCCGCATCTCTGGCCATACTTGGCTCTTTTTCTCTGGGCTCCAGGGTTCTGTATCGCCTCAGTCAGGACTCGTGACCACCACTGTGGGCTCCAGGGCTCCATATTGCCTCAGTCAGGACTTGTGACCACCACTGTCCCTTACCACAGAGCCTTTGCACAGGCTGTTCCCTCTACTTGGATCCACTCTCTGGTCAACATTTTCCTTCCTGGTTAACTCCTTCAGCTCTCAGCCACAGGAATAAACCAGGCTTCCAGGCATCACACGTCACTGAAAACCCAGAATTTGGGGTCCCTGCTCTCCAAGCTTGTTTTCCAAAAGCAGCATCTTCCAGTCTGTTTTCAAGAGTTATGTGGACCTGATGGTTGTTGAGACTGAGGGAGCAGTATGAGAGCCAGACTCTGACCTAGGCAGATGACCCATGACCATCCAGCCCTGGGTGCCAGGCCCACCTGCCCTAGGATGTCTTCCCGGATGTTGGCCCCTGGTAGCACCAACTGTGCCTTTGGCCACCGTTGTACTTTATGCGTCATGTTGATGTCTGTCTCCTCACTAGACAGTGAACTCTCCAGGCCAGGATCTGTCTGGCCATTCACTCTTGTCTCCATGCTGCTCTGACCTTTAGGGTCTCAACTCAGGACCCCACTACCCATTGGTTTGTAAGGCCAAGGGCAGCCTTAGTTGCCCAGTGGAGGAGCCACAGGTGGGATGTAAAGACCTAAGAGTAGGGATTCACACCGATGCTGTACACGCTGCATATCAGGTGTGTGCAGGGGTATCCCAGGGGTACTCCCACGCGTGCCTTTGTGCTGGGGCCCCAGTTCAGTCCTCATGCCTAGAGCAGACCTTTGAGTGCTGTGTCCCCTGCTCTGTGTGCGTGCGTGTATGTGAGAGAGAGAGAGAGAGAGTGTCCTTGAGATACTGAGAAAGACATGAGTGAGTGCATGTTTGAGAGAGAGCCTGAGAGACTGATCAGGACAGATGGTGAGAGAGAGAGACATCGTATGACGGAGTGAGAGAATGGTAGGGAGAGATTGAGAAGGATATTGAGAGACAATGAGCAAGAGGCAGAGAAAGAAAGGGAGGGAGATTGAATTAAGGACAACAGAACCTGGTATCCTTTCCCCACCCTTCCTACAAAGTGGAGCGCCCCCAGAGCCAGGTGATTTCATGGGTTCTCAGCCTTGGAGACCCATTGGAGGCCCAGCTCACAAACAGAAAAGGCCTAAGTCCTGTATTTGGCTGTAGGCTCTGCGGTGTGTGTGTGTGTGTCTGGGTTGGTGGGGTCTCGGAGGGCTCTGGGAGTGGGCTGTGGGCTACGGGTGCCTTCCCAGTCCTAGGGTAGCAGGGGATGGGGCTGAGCCCTCCTGGGCAGTGATTCCTGCCGCTCTCTGGCCAGGAAACAAAGATGAGAGTGGGCTGAGCCGCAGATGAACTTGAGCGCCTTCTGTGGTCTTGCTCTGGAGGGGCTAGAAGGGGTACGCAGCTGGGGGAGCATTCACGGGACCTGGGAGGGGCAGGGCATGGAAACCCATAGAAGCAGAATTCTGGAGAGCAGCGTGGGCCAAGCAATGATGTGGGGTCCGTGGGCCAGTCTGTGGCGCTAACGGGGAGAAGCAGAGATGTGTGGGGCTCTGCTTACCACCAGCTTCTCCCACGCCAGCCCCCATCTCCCCTCTAGTGCTCCCCAGGAGAGGAGAGGGCTGTGGCAGCTGTGGGCATAGGAGGAGGCTCGGAAGGCAGCTATGCTCACCACTATACCACCAACGCGAGGAGGAGGCTCGGCCTGCAGGAGCTCCAGCAGGGCCGTGGGTTGGGATCTGAGGGCGGGTCTGGGGGTTCACCAGTGACCTTCCACCCAGGGCTGCCCTGGAGGACATCTCCCTGCATGGTGTGTGGGCGTTAGGGCTCTGCGCACCCTGAGTGGGCTTGAGGGGGGGGGGTCCCTGGCTGGGAGACCCCAGTGCATGCTTGGGCCGAGGTGGGGGGCTCAGAGAAAGGAGGGGCCAATGGGGCTTGGGTGGAGGTGGGGGGCTCCTCCAGAACCATCTAGGGAGGGATTGTGTGTGACAGTGTCTCCTGGGGTCGCAGGACCATCCTGAGGCAATGGGTACTGGCCAGGTGCCTGGTTCCTGGAGACAGAGCCCAGGAAGTGTGTGGGGTCCCAGGGAACCTGGAGAACCTGAGAGGGACGCAGCTGGTGGGGCAGGTGCCTTTTCCCTGTCCATCTTTGTTCTCTGGCCCTGAGCACACTGCTGGGCTGTCCTGGAGCCTGGGGGTGGGGCTGGGGGGCGTCACAATTGGCCTTTTCCTGTCCTGCAGAGGACATGGGCCCCCCAGGCCCCTTTGAGCTGGAAGGACTGTGGTCCTGAAACATCTGGACTTGGCAGGGAAGCGGCCAGCAGCACTGCTGCTGTCACTCCTGCTGTCCCACGCCCAGGCACATCCTCTCCACACCTGCACGCCACACACACCTGCCCGGCCCACGGGTTGCGTAACTATCTTACGGGCCCGAATTTACCAGCCGCGCATCTGGCCGAGGCACCGGTGTGATGTAGCCGGCTCACTTATCTGGGACGGCGCCCGGGCCACCTGTGCCCATCCTCAGTCAGCCTTGTGGACCCTCAGGCTGGGGCTGGAGCCCAGGAGGGGCTTTCCCCAGGCACAGGGTTTACTCAGCCTCCTTCAATCCAAGATTATCTGGGAAACAACCTCTTCCACCCGGGGCCAGCAGTGCTGGGAGGATTGGCCGGCCACTTCCGCTGGGCCCTCGGCCTGGGGTAGGTTTCAGCCCCAAGCTGCTGTCTGTGTCGCCAGAGGGGGTCTCTCTCCTGCCACCCCCACCACGCCGGCGGTGGACCATGACCCTGGGGAGGGGGTCTTCCTCTGATGTGGGGAACAGACCTTGTGGGGAGTGGAGGGAGGGCCGCTGGCTGAGAAGGCTGTGTCTGTGTGGACACAGACTGACCAGGTCAGTACCACGTGGACTGGGAGC